CTGTTCGGTGTTATCTTCAGTGTACAATAAGCGGGTGATGTTGCGAGGCTACTGTCTCACGGTTTTCGCGTCTGTGACAAGTCCTTCATCGCGATGCCTGACAAGAACAAAGTCTATTTGTGTTCTGGCACTCCCGCTGTAGAAGGTAATCAGGTGGGAGTCGCGTTTACGGAACTTTGTGTTCACGATGGCGAGATTATGGGCTTCTGCATATTCCAGGATGCGTTCGCCATCGACGTTACGTGTTCCATAACCGAAGCCACCATGACAACTGTAACCGTCTTTCGTTGCGCCTACGTGCCCGTTAAGGTCACCAGCGACAATTACGATACCTCAGCTGTCTTCTCCTCAAGCAGAGTCCAGAACTCATCCTTCCCGTCTGCGGAGCATATTCCGAAAAGAAGTGGTACAGTCGCTGCTCGACAGCAAGAACAATCTTCATCAAACGATCGTCGAACGTTCCACGCTAGCTATCGAGTCACGGAAACGTTGAGAGACGATTATGGCCACTCCGTTAGTAGTCCTTGGCTTGCCACAAAGAACGGCTTTGAAGCCGCGACCGATGTCTCTCGACTTGCAACTGGACCATCTTGTTTCCTGCACTGCACAGAGATCGATTCGTCTGCGCTCTAGTGCCTCTGCCAATTCACATGAACGTCCGGTCAAGGTTCCAACGTTCAACGTTGCAATACGGACTTTACACGCTACACTGCCTGAAATTTGGACTAGCCTGGTCGCCCCCGATGCCGTCCTTGCACCGAGGACCCTCGCATACTTTCCACACTCGCCGGGCCATGCGAGTGCGCGTCGGCTCCCGCGGACGCCGTAGCATTATCTCGAAATACATATGGCATGATTAAACATGTTGATGTGACATGGGTGTTCGTAGGCCGGCCCGTCACGAAGGCCTGTCACCTGCTGTCGGTTGTCTGCGTTTTGCAGCTCGCAGAGACGAGCTCCCAGTGGCACCGCGTGGAGGAGCAGACTTCACCGCCAACGAAACACAACGGAATAATTCTTCTAAAAGGGAAGAGTTCAAACGCGCTTCAAGCACATTCAGTAAACTGCAAACCTAGAGCTTCGCAATATTGCTTTCCCCTTCTCGGAAACCCCACTGTATAAAAGTTTAAGGATATCTAAACAGAGAGTTCTTTGGAGTTTTTCGACACGCATCGCGGAATGGCTTGCTCAAGTGCAACAGGAAATAGCGTTCTGAATGCTCGAAATCACTGAGTATTCGCTGACGTCTGAAATTTATGTATACTATTCGATATCAACTACTTTTATGTCTTTTTTTTTTCGGGGGAGGGGGTCGAAGCAAAAGCTGCTCTCAGAGAGAGGTCGTATTTAGCACAAATTCATCACAGCGTGGTGACATGCCCTGCTGGCACCGTCCCGTCCGTTCGCATTGTTGTTTTCTGTAGCCTAGTAGTGGGCTGATGCGATTTTCCTCAGGAATGTTGTTCAAAAACAATGATAAATTTGATCTGATGACAAAAATTTGATCTCAATAGAACAACTGGAAAATGTTTCTATAGCGTGATTCGAGTAAAGATATAGTGTCGCTCTGTGGAAGCTGCAATGATGAATTGTTGGCTTGAAGTTTTTTTGATTGACATCTTTCTTGTACGTCACACCTTGAAAAGAAAAACCAACGTTTCCGTTTGACGAATTACCCTGTTTTTCGTAGGTCTGCCAACCATTTCTGCACGAGTAGCGCATCACCAGCACCCCAGAAGTCTCGTTCACTGAAACTCAAGAAACGTTTTGTGGAAAGTTGTGCTTTGATCTCGAACAGAACAACTGAAAAATGTCTTTGTGGCGTGATTCGAGTGAACATATAGTGCCGTTTTGTGGATGCTGCACGTGTCAGGGGGCTGACCTTGGCAAGGTGCGAGCCCGTTCTCCTCCGGTTGGAGGTGGCAAGTGATTCCGCTTGGACGAAAACGAGATGGCGCCACGTCAACCTCCGACCTCCTGATCCTCCTGACACGCCCCAATATCCACAGCAAACATGACTGTATATCACTATTACCTGGAGGGATCCGTAACGCAATGAAATCTGGGATCACATTCTAGGTGTAAAAATGCCCGTATGTGCTTCCAGTATTCGAGGGGTCGAAGAAGGGGAGAGGAGTACAAATGGTTCTTCTCGAGGGGCCGAAAAACAGAGAAAGAATAAAAACATAGAATGGTCGTGGGACTCGTCTTACCACGTCAATAGCTATTCCTGGTTCCGCCCACCTGGGAATCCAGGTTGCTGTGTGAAGACCCATTCTGCGATTGCAAATCGTGGGTAGTGGAGTTAGAATAAAAATTAGACATAGCTGGAAAAACTGCTACATAACAGCAACGGTTCGTTCCATCCCTTAATCACATACGAAGTATTGTAATTGCGCTAACCATGGGAATTATCATTGAGGCGGGGTGGACAAAATAAGGACAACGATAAGTACAGTCCTCATCATTGCGGACTGTCGGAGGGAACGCGGTCCAAATGGGCGTTCGGCCTCGTTGCTCTACCAATGGCGATCGGGTAAAGATCGATTTAGGGAGGGAGCAACCAATGATGGAAACGCCGCAGGTGCGAGCCGCTGATTGCGACCCGACAATTGCGGTGATGTAAAGTGTAGCTGACAAAAAGATTATGGGAAGTTGACGCTAGACACTCATGCAAGACATGCAATAAGAAGAAGATAACAAGAAGAATAGCACTAAACATCAAATGAGTTCCAATAAAAAAATGCCAGTAGTTCAGGTTCAATTTCATAGCTTATGACGACCATTCAAAGGAGCTAACTATTGAAACGAACTAAAGATTAAGAATCAAAAACTGAAAATGAAAATATGACTTCGAAGGAACCATCGCTGCCATTGAGAATGCTCTTAACTCATTACTTATTTTTTGTCATTATTTACAATTGAATATTTGTAACATATGGATTTGTTTTGATAGCCCATTTAACAATGTGTTGCTCATAATGAACTCCTCCTCGTGGCCATTGTTCAAAAGTGTTAAACGCATCCGTTACTTCGCAAACAAATATATCAAAAAACGAGCAAGTGTTCGCTAATCTCAGAGTTTCTGTGTATATAACAAAAGCTTCATTGTTAAGAGAAATGTTTGTATCACTGTATAAAAAACTAATGTCTTTGAAGCAAAAGCCATCTGTTTGTTATACAACTTGGTATCTTTCCATTTACTATGCTAACTGTCAAATCTGGATAACAAAAAAAATCCAAACA